GCGTAGTGAAATTCAGATCAAAATATGCGATCAACTATTAAACTTGTCATATTCTCTAAACTCTGAACTATATCAGAGTTTCTAATGACGTGGGGTTACGCAGATTTCATAATTCTTCGGTGTCAGAGTGAGCCCAAAGCGGTAGTCCATATCAGGCTTCACCCCAGCAGGCATGGAGAATGTGAAGTGCTGCATGAAGGAGGTGAAGAAGAGGAAAAGCTCCATCTTGGCCAGGTTCTCTCCAAGACACACCCGCTTACCTGAGACAAGACACTGACATTAGTCCTAGATTTCCTTTGGATGACTGTGCACAGATCAGTTACCGATTCAGTAGAATTACTTAGGATCTCTTTTTGTCCTTCACCAGCCATCTCTTAAACAGCACATTTTACAGTGCATGTTTGGAGAGGCTGCTGAAAAAGCTTGCACAGACATTAATAAAATATCTACAGAGTCGTTCCTTACCAAGAGAGAAAGGCAGAAAAGCTGCTCGTTTCACAAATCTGCCCTCCTCATTCAGAAAGTGATTTGGATTGAAGGTGTGAGGCGTCTCCCACTCTTTCTTGTCAAACAGCACAGATGTCAAATTGGGAATTACTATAACTCCCTGGCAATTGGAATAATAATAAATAAAACACACAAAATGAAATATGACATAAACCATGTTTGTCTTTTACTGAAAATTGGTTTGAGCAATGACCTTTGGGACTGAGTAGCCCCCCAGCTCGACATCTCTGTTGGTGACATGCGGCACGCCAAGAGGAGCTATGTTTCCAATCCTCTGGATCTCATGGATAACAGCATCAGTGTAAGGCAGGTTTGCACGGTCCTCCATTGAAGGCTGTCTGGACTCTCCAATCTCTCTGTCTATCTCAGCCTGTACCTTTTCTGTGCAAAAGACAAAAGAAAACAGTATTTCAGTAATGAAATTTACAGCGTAGTGCAACAGCGCTGATTATTAAAGAGATTTGTGCACCATTGCAAAAGAGTGGCCATCATAGTTGGGATATCAGTAGTTGACTTGTTGGCGGAGCTGGCTTGCTGAAAGAACATTTCAGCAAGTATTTACCAGTGACTGTAGAAAAGCAGAGATTTTATCATATTGTAAAAAAATATATATTTAAAAACAAAATCACCATGGGGCAGATGGTAAGATGTTTAAGTCATCATCTTTAATGAAATGTTGACTCAGACATGTTAAATACTTTTTTACATGAGCAGATAATGTATACACTTCAAGTTACAACATACAGTAGATCCACAAATGGATGTATTTTACTCCAAGTTCTTACGATACAATATGTGAAGAAAGCCATCAGCCAGTGGTCAGTTACTGAGAGCTTCATTTGACAGAATGGAACAATTTATGTGCCACCTGTAGAGAAGACATACAACAAATAATTCATCAGTGCAAACAAACAACACAGACATTTCATATCACTTAAGTTACTGCTCTTACATGTAGGCCATACAAATGGATAGTTTCTTGTATATGTTGCTCTTATGTTGGCAACTGCCAGATAAAGGTGTGTCATATTGCCATGGTAAGCTAAAGTTAACTTCATGTATGAGGGGACTGCAGCTTTGCTTGCAAATGTTGAGTAAAAATGTAATGATGGTTATCTCTATGATTTCTGATAAAAATCTCCCTTCAGTCACATTTATCTAAGCCTTCAGGAGATCAAAAATGTCTTCAAGAGTAAAAGCAGTCCTACTTTACACATCATAATACCACTCACTTTCAGGTTTGCACTCATACAGAGCAAAACATGGAGCTCAGTCATAAAACCAAAGGCCAGGTCTATTTATTAGTTTAGTTTATTATCACAATCCAGATTGCTCAATCAACTACAATTGGTTATAGATCAACTTGAAACTGGAGAACAGCAGTTCTTGAGACAGACAGTGGAGGTGGAAACACTGTCTAAAGATTTAAAAATTCCTCCAAGAGCATTCTTAAAGTAACAACAACTTTGGGGGTTGTTATTTATTTTCTATTAAATAATAAGAGCCTAAGCAGCTATTAGTATTTATTATGATAAAAGAACAGTTTTTACAATTCTAACAAACTTCAAAGTCAAACTTAGGTATGCCCACCTTTATTATTCAACACAGCCTGAAGTCTGTTAGGCAAGGTTTTCTATAAGTTCTTTAAGTAACTTTTAATAACTCCGAATACTTACTGAAAGGGCTTCGAGAAACTACTGCTCAAAACCACTTGAAAAGATTCTGACACCCTCAACTTTGATTTTTTCAAGACTACTGAAATGTGCACAGAAGAACTGACACACAACACACACACACACACACACACACACACACACACACGCTACAAGACTTAAAAACAGTTTTTACCACCAAGCCATACGACACCTCAACCACAACACTTAAACACACACAACACAGCACTCAGAAGCTACCCTGCAGCTTCACAAGTACTCTGTTTAATCTGCACTGGTCACTCCACTTTATTGTTATTGATATTTATATTTAAAAGTGCAATACTGTAATTTTCTGCTGCTCATTCCTGTGCAATATCCCATCTGCCCTCCCGTCATATTTCTTTTCAAGATTTTCTTATTTAATCACTAGTGTACATATATTTATATTTATAGATACATATATATTTAGTCATCTTTTCTCTTTTACCATGTCTCTCTAATATTTTGCTCCTTACTATTTTTCTATTTTTTTATTATTTTATTTTATTATATTTTCTCCTACTGTATCATGCTGCTGAGTGACTGCTGCTCGTCAAACACATTTCATTGCAATGTTGACCCTGTGCTAACTTGCATATGACAAATAAAACTGAAAACTGAAAAAAAAACGAACAAAAAACACCACACACACAACGTCAACAAGCACTTATCTGCAAAATCTCATACACATGCCTTTTTAAGTTACTTTTTGACAATGCTCAGTCTTTTTGCACAACCCACTGTCATTGTTGCACTTTTCTATTGCACTGTTCTGTTCTGTCTGTTTTGTTTTTGTTTTTTGTTTTTGCACACTTGCACTTTATGTAGTCCTCTGTTGATTGTCTGTTATATGTTATACATAGCACCATGGTCTTGGAGGAATGCTGTCTCACTTCACTGTGTACTGTACCACAGCACATGGTTGACGTGACAATAAAGCCACTTGACATCGACTCTTTGAAAACAAAACAAAGAAACGAGGGACTGAGAACACCTGCTCTTTTGTCAGTGGTTTTTTTTTAGTCTTTCTGTCTGGTACAGCTACCTAACGGCACACTTACACAGTGGTCTCGAGCATGTAGGAAGTCAAACAGCTCCTCGGTACAGTCCTCCTCCGTTGAAGACCGGGAGCCAACTCTGGTCTCACATTGCTCCAGACGCTCCCAGGTGTGAATGCAGTGTTCTGTCTCCGCACATTTCTGCCGCAGTGATTCAACAGGATCCTGAAGGAGAAAGTTTAACACTCAAAGCAACTGGCTTTCAATAAGAGACACATATGCCAGTGTCAGTGTCCAAATAAGTGCAATGCCATATAGCTGAGGAAAAAAGGGAAAGTCCATTTGGAAAGAAAAAAAAAATCCATGAAGTAGGTGGTTTGTTTTTGTTTTCTTTTTATATACGGGAAAACTACCACACATTTTTTTCAAATATCAAATGACAAAGTAAATTATCACTTTTTGTTTTTTTTAAATTGGTTTTGTTCAGTAAAGACCAAAATAAAACCATCAGTCATAATGGGATATATTAACATACTTTGATTCTGTTAAGGTTATTTAATTAACATACCACCATCTCTTCCTCTTCTTCTTCCTCCTCCTGAAATACACAAGACCAAATTAATAACACCAATAAACCACCACCCTCGAGAAATTGTTATCAATTGCTTTTGTATCGATTCATCTTCACCAGTTAGTCCGTCATTATTATCACTGACTGCGATTTGATTCTGTTAATTAACCTTTAATCTTATTCTGAACAGAGATGTATAGAGAGGTTGGCTAATGCTAATGTCAACTAAGGATGCATCGTAGTTAGCCTCGGTGTATTAGCCTATAAGCTGAACGTCAAACGTCACTAGCTTACGAAATCGTATCTGTAACAAATACTAAGAACCTCTGGTTCTCCGTTCGTGATCCTTTTCTCCTCGAAAACCATGATCTGGTCTTATCCTTGAATCAGCTAGCTGTCAAATCTCAGATATTGGAGGACACACCAGGTCATACGAGCTAATAAGCTAACGAAGGCAAACACTTCCGGTTGCTTAACTTTCAAAATCAAACTGCTCTTCGATCATTGCCTGAACTTGGAACAGAACTTGGAATCCTTTTGTTTTTGCTCGATACGCAAACATGCCAAAGTTTCGCCTCGACTCACAGACGTTTTACATTGAAAGTTCCAAGTATTTATTTAAATGACATATGTTTTATTTTGAAGTTAATCATCTACTTCCCCCGAGGGTAGGATATCCGAGTTTTATCAGTTTTAAGATGTGAACGCAAGGTGCACATTACAAAGCCAGTTATTTGTTTTTAAACCCATATAACAGATAATGCAATTCATTCATTTGAAACATGAGCCAAAATTTTAATGCACGACGACTTAAAAATTGTTACACTCTCTACTACCATCGTGTGTTAGGAAGTGGTACTACATTGAATTTGGCCACGTTCTTAAAGCCCTTTTTTGAGTACTTTGTTCTTCCTTTGTTCCCTTTAGAGTTTTTTTCTTCAAATGGGTCATCTGAGTTGCTTTCCTGTTTCAACAACATGAAATAGAGTTAGTTTGTTAAATAAGGTGAGAAGAACACCACTGGCTTTCCCAGAACTCTTCTGAAATGAAAGCTTAATGGCAAATACAAACCAAGCAAAGTTCTCATGGAATGTAAACAAGATTTTAGTTTTGGTACATTTAAAAGTCAGCCTTGAAGAAACGCAGATTTGACCATGGTTGGTTGTGAAAACAAGATTTTAGTTTTGGTACATTTAAAAGTCAGCCTTGAAGAAACGCAGATTTGACCATGGTTGGTTGTGAAAACAAGATTTTAGTTTTGGTACATTTAAAAGTCAGCCTTGAAGAAACGCAGATTTGACCATGGTTGGTTGTGAAAACATGTCGTTTTATGATCATGTAAGGCTTTAAAAATCTCACATCTTCCACTCTGTCAAATGGCAAAACTACAAACTCATCTTCAAGATTCCAATGAGCATTTTTTTTTGTGTGTATGTTAGTGTTGCCCCAAAGATAGCAGTTTTAAAGTGGTAAAAATAAGAACTGAAGTATTAAAGTTTGTCTATTTCTTAAATCTAATCAAGCCACCCTCAAGCCAAAAAGATTCTCTACTGTTGAGCAACAATACTTGATTTTAGCATCCTAGATTAAAAATGTTTTTCACATTTTTTTTCTCTATGAAATAAGGCCAGAGTTCAGAGTAAACCTTATTTGCTTTACCAAGTGATAGTAATACTGAGCTTTGCCCTCACTGCAGTGATAGCACTTGTTGCCTACTCTCAGACTGAGTCATCTGTCTTACAGGAGAAATCGTACCCACGTACAGTGACTGTATTTACAGAATGGATTCAATCATTTCTGTAATTGGAACCTATGTTTCCTGGGATCTCAAGAGTCTGCTGCTCTTCGCTGCAGTTTTCATCATCACTGCAGACTATATTAAGAATCGTCGGCCAGCAGGCTATCCTCCAGGACCCCGGGGTCTTCCAATTATGGGCAACCTATTCACTATAGATCAGAACAGGGCCCATGAGAGTATGACACAGGTACCTGTGAATCTTCAAATGTTACTTATTAACTCATATTTTCATCTCAAGCCTTGTGTGTATCTTCTTTGATAAATCCTTTGCCAGTTAGCAGAGAGATATGGAAATGTGTACAGTCTACGGATGGGACAGGAACGGATGGTGGTTTTAAACGGGTTTGATATTCTGAAAGAAGCTCTAGTGACGCAGGGAGACAGCCTGGCGGACCGCCCGGACCTTCCTTTACAGACTGATATAGCACATGGATTAGGTAAGACTACTATAGATCTAAACAGACCCAAAGCTTGAAAGTTCAAAGTTTTAAGGTTCTTTTTTGTTTGCTTTCCCCTCTCTATTTCTGGTTTGCCCAAAGACTCTCAGCTTTGATTGCTTCAAATTTAACTTTAAGAAAGGAGTTAGGGATAAGAATAGAGAAGTGGTTATATAGTCCTAAAACACAACCTTCTTTTTTGTTTGCTTTCCCCTCTCTTTTTCTGATCAGGTGTCATTACCAGTAGTGGAAACCTCTGGAAGCAGCAGAGACGCTTTGCACTTTCGACCCTTAGACAGTTTGGATTTGGCAAGAAGTCACTTGAATCTGTGGTCCTGGATGAATTTACATATTGTTCAAAAAACATCAGAAGCTATAAAGGTACGTGCTTATTACACAGTGAGATTTTATAATGAACAAATTCACAGTTTACATAAAAGTTTCTCGTCTATTCTGGAGGTAAGCCATTCGATCCACACCTTATTCTCAACAATGCTGTCTCCAACATCATCTGCTCCCTGGTGTTCGGCCATCGCTTTGAGTACGGTGAAGAGAAGTTCATTAAAATGATGCAACTGTTTGATAAAGCATTCCAGATTGAAGGCTCCATTTGGGGACAGGTACAGCATTTAAAAATACTGATCACATCCTAAATTCACGGGCCACAGCTCTGCCATTTATTCCTTACAGGAATGTTTTTTTTTAAATGTCAGTGAATGATATGGTATGTAAAGTTTATCAATATTAAGTCTCCTCACTACTAGAAGCATACGTACTGAAGTGTCTGACGCAGTAAAAGAAAAATAGTCACCTTTTAGGCGAGAAAAGAGGTGATAACAAACAGGAAATTAACACTGAGCAGTGACATGCAGAGTAGGAGAGAATATCCAAACTGTATATATGAAACTATAAAGGTTTTATATTGATGGACACATTTTTACACTAGCAATAAAGAAAAACACTTTTAAAAAAACACACACACACACACAAAGACAAACGATTCTCCCAATCAGAACTTTATCTTTTAGGTTTTGTACTCAGCAAAATCACTGACAGCAATGCTCAAATCCAAAGTCATGATGTTATATTCATCCTGGAGTCTTGTCTCTTCCTCTTTCTTTTGACCACCACTGTTTTATTTTGCTTGGTAAGCATGATTAGAAATCCCGCAAAACTGTTGCCAAAAACCAAATTGTTGCGTAGTTAACAGCTTAGCACACATTTTCCACAAAAGGTTAGAAAGAACAAGTAATCTTTTTCCCAGCATGTCTCTCCACCATCAGAGCTTTAAGAAAAAACATGTATTTTATTCAGTAACCTATAAAATGATTGAGTTTGAGTTTGCAGTTAATATTCAATTCATAAGAAAAATGTATAGCATACAAAACTTTGAGACCTTTGGATCACAAAGTGGAAATATGACTTAATAAAACTCTTATAATATATCCACTTTGTTGGCTGCCCCTCCCTAAGTCTGGTTCTGTATTATTAACCAAACTTTTGACTGGTTCTATCTGTCTGGTTTTCAGACAGTTTATTTAGACTGAGGCATGGCATTTGCACTAACGTGAATGTATTGTTCCAATATGTTTCCGTTTGTAGCTCTACAATGCATTTCCTGTCCTGATGAGACGTTTACCAGGTCCACATCAGAGTGTCGGGCAGATGTGGAATGAAGTGAAGGATTTCATACGAGTAGAGCTAAATGAGCACAAGAAGACCTGGGATCCCTCAGAAAAACATGACTACATTGATTGTTACCTCAGTGAGATTCAAATGGTAGGAGATTAGGCTTAATTTGCCATTATAAATTGCCATGTAATTCAGGTAACACTGCCAATAAAGGCACTTTTTTAAATCATTTCCAATGTTTTAAAATGTGTGTTTGCATGTATTTTCAGAATAAGGGGCAGGACGACAACACTTTTGATGAGGAAAATCTGGTTATTTGTGTTTTGGATCTTTTTGTGGCTGGATCTGAAACCACATCCACCACCCTGCGCTGGGCTTTCCTCTACATGGCAAAATATCCTGAGATTCAGGGTAAGAGTATTGACCAGACCTGGAAAGCTCTCTGTTTTTATTAAATAATCTGGACATGTGTGGCACTAAAGGAACATTCTGGTCATAATTTCTTAAGTGTAAACTTTTCTATTTCCAGGTTATACTCAGCTTTTTAGATGTATAATGTATTT